TCATCATTCTTGAATTGAGCATCACATTGCTGACACCTGATCAAAATACCAAAGAAAGGCGATCTCAGTAAGTGTGATAACTTCAGGGGCATGACTCTTCCCTTAATACCAAGAAAAAGTCTTTAACAGGGTGTTATTAAACAGGATGAAGTACTAGATGTGCGCCCAACTTCGAGACCAAAAGTCTGGATTCCGTAAGGATCATTCATGTACCGACCAAATCGCAACTCTACGTATCATTGTGGAACAATCAATTGAATGGAATTCATCACTCTACATCAACTTCATTGACTACGAGGAAGCATTTGATAGCCTGGACAGAACAACACCATGGAGGCTTCTTCGACACTACGGCGTGCCTGAGAAGATAGTCAATATCATACGGAACTCCTATGATGGACTAAACTGCCAAATCGTCCACGGTGGACAACTCACCGACTCGTTTGAGGAAAAGACCGGTTTCAGGCAAAGTTGCTTACTCTCACGTTTCTCTTTCTCCTGGTGATCGACTGGATCATGAAGACGTCAACATCTGGAGGGAAGCACAGGATACAGTGGACAGCCAGGATACAACTAGACGATTTAAACTTCGCCGATGATCTGGCTCTTCTATCACATACGCAACAATAAATGCACGAGACGACCATTGCAGCAGCAGTAGGTCTCAATATAAACAAAAGGAAAAGATTCTCCGATACAATACAACATGCACCGATCGAATCAAACTTGATAGAGAAGCTTTGGAGGATGTGGAAACCTTTACATATCTGGGCAACATCATTGATGAACACGGTGGATCTGATGCAGATGTTAGGGAGAGGATCGGCAAAGCAAGAGTAGCATATTTACAACTGAAGAACATCTGGAACTCAAAACAACTGTCTGTCAACCAACACCAAAATCAGAATTTTTAATACAGCTGTCAAGACAGTTCTACTGTATGAGGCGGAAACTTGGAGAACTACGAAAGCCATCATCCAGAAGATACAAGTGTTTATTAACAGTTGTCTATGCAAGATAATTCGGATCCGTTTGCCAGACACTATCAGCAACATTCTACTGTGAGGTAGAACAAACCAGATTCCATCTAGTGGAAGAAGAAATCAGGAAGAATTGTTGGAAGTGGATAGGGCACACATTGAGAAAAGCAGTCGACTGCGTCACAAGACAAGCCCTCACATGGAATCTTGAAGACCAAAGGAGAAGAGGAATGCGAAAGAACACATAACGTCAAGAAATGGAAACAGATATGAGAAAAATGAAAAGAATTGGATAGAGTTAGAAAGGAAGGCGGAGGACAGAGTGTTATGGAGAATGGTGGTCGGCGGCCTATGGTCTATTGGGAGTAACAGACATAAGTAAGTAAAGTAAGTAAGATATTGGTGTTTTAAACTGAAGCTACTGTCAAATAAGAACTAAGAGTGACTCTAGGCTGGTTGTACTGATTTATAGGTCATAAGTCGGTGTTCTAATTGGCGATAAGTCACGTGATGATTAACAGAACCAAAAGACATAACACGATCCAGCTAAAGTTTGTCCAAAATCTGACTATAAATAAGTGTAAAAGCAAAACTATAAAAGTCAGTATATCGAGACGTCGATTTTGATCTACATTTCGTCTGAAGAACATTACACATTTTGTTCTCACTTGCACTGAGATGTTTATGTTAATATGAGAGCCGTGAATAGAAAATCATTTTAAGACTAGTCAAAAGGTAATTTCATTGCATATGCGTCATCTGTTGTTGAGTAGCAGTTCATAATACAGATTCAGTTTTTCCTTACATCACACATTACACGGTCAGGTCAATTTGGTTTAAACAATGATTAATGATGTCTAAAAAGAATTCGATAAAATTATGAACCGATCTAAGTTAGACTACCATTGAAAGATGGTTGCGCAACCCTGTGTATTGGACATTAACACCGCTGGTTGTCGACTCAGTGATCAAGTGGTTGGGCATTTGCGTGGATTTGATTCCGGCATTCGGGGCCGTAGATGTGCACTACTGATGCGTCCCACACCATGAAAAACGGCCGTCGAATGATTTCAACTTTTCAAGGGTGGTCTATCTAAGGTCAAGTGATGATTTGAATGATACTAATAGTATATTTTCATATCAAATGATTATCTAAGTAATATAAGTTGCATGATGAAAATTGTAGATAAACGTGATAGAATACTGATTCCATCGAAATCCAAATAATTATAATTACTCGAATTATAGTTTTTTTCATTATATTCATAGAATCATATCTGAACAAACTCTTAATGTCAAAAAATCAGTACGTCAAAGACTAATTAATATACGAATATAAATCATGCAAATTTATGTATATATAGATACATACAGAATGACCAATGTGTATTTTCGTCTAAGAATAAAAATAACAGAAAACTCATTAAGAAGATTCATCAAAAAATTGAACGTCATTAGTTGTACCGTTAAATGGCACAGTAATGTATAATTTAAATGTCCAAATGAATAAAAATATCAGTTAGGTAGTAGTTTGTTCTTGAAAAAAAAACAACGGAATAATCACTGGTCCTTAAAATAAGCAATATTGATTACAGCTGATGATGATGATATTTAGGTTTATGTAACAGCAAGACAAATCACATTGTTGTTTATGGTGAAATAACTAATTATTCACTTCAATAAATATCATTATGAATAAATGTTACATAAATGTGTTTAGCAAGTAATCAGGAAGATCATCTGATGAAGGATGTTTGGACCTCTATTTTTTTTTAAATTAACTTCTCACCGCTAGTAGAATGAACTCTTTCTTATTCCGTTTTGATTATTGAATTTTTGTAAATCAATGTATGCTGTACTAAATAGGGCATTTGTTTCGACATGGTATTGAGAATTCATGCTGGTACAAAATATGATATCCTATTTCAGTTTATTTGTATATGCTTAGCAATAGTATCTAGAATGAGTATTTCAACCCGTTTGAAACTTATCAGATATATGTAGCTTTATTTCAATTCTGACGAGCTCACTTAAATTCGAACTCAGTACCTTTTGCTTCAAATTTTCTCAACGCGTTATCTACTATGTCCAGGTATCTTATTTTAAATGAAATATACGATTTTAATAATACTCACTGTTGTTTCTGATAACTGAATTTTTATCACTTGGATATACTTTTCTCGCGGTACTAGTGATTCTTGAGTGTCATACATTATACCGCAATTTCAATGTGTCCTACCGAGTGTAGAAGCTTTGTTGATGTAATTTCAGAAATCTAAAATTGTATTCAGTATTTCATATATTTAACTGAGATCACGATTTTTAATTACTGGAAATCATGACAGTTAAAATCTTACTTTTATGTATATTAAATTCAAGGGCCCTTGATCGTTCTTATTTTGAAAAGTTGTTGACAAGTTTGACTGAGAGACAGTATAACAAGCGGAAACAACTGCCAAATGCTCACTTATTGTACATTCACGTTTAGCTATTACTCGATCTACAGTCAAATTTACTAGGAACTTTTAATCTATGATGTTATATGATGACTGATTGTTTTAACCATCAGATTATTTCCACATCACCTTTGAATCGTTGCAATTTGTTAGCGATTGTTCTCGTCATTAGAAGTGTATTCCATGTTCAATAAGTTGCCAACTTACATTTCTATTTCTCCTCATCCATTTCATATACTCAAGCATACGCCTCTCTTCACACTTCTGCAGCAATTGATTATCCCCAAGATAGAAGCAAACCTTTTAATGGATGAATGTTACGAATGGTTAGATTATTTCATTGCATGACTTGAATCACATCACGTGCTCTTGTGGGTATTACGGTGATGAATCATGTAACATTGATTCAATTTTAATCAAATTCTAACTGGTATTATTAAACCCTTGGATTTCAATGGTCTGTATTAATCATCATTAGGCAATAGTTCTTTGAAAAGAAGTCTTGTCACTCATTTATTTTGTGAATTACAATCAGCTTCCGTTTCTATTTAAACATAAAGTTTTACTTCGTATTCTAGTTAGTTCGGAGCATATTTTCCAATCACACGGACTACAGTGTAACAAATAATCAACGGTATGACTGACCTTATTGACTATTTATTCCTCAATAATATTATTGGCTGAAATCATACAATCGCATTTAGAATAATTTTGAACAAATAATGTGGTGGCCTTTTGAACAATAGGAAACATCATACCAGTGTTCGAAAATCACTTTAAATAGGATATCATACCAAAAATAAAATTATTCCCACCAAATCACCTTCATTTACTCTTCAATGATACAATCGGTTTCTTCTCTAACCCACTTTTATTTGACGTACCCTGTTGTTGGCCATTTCAATCTTTTTATACGTATTGAGATTGCTTGATTTTTTTCTTAGATTTCAACTGCTTAACAACTGTGATTCATTCAAAAGTACTTTATTGGGGTGTATTGTACATGAACATTAGGTAGTAAAATACCTGCAGTCATTTTTAGTTAGATTTTCATCATGTCTGTTTCAACTTTGTACGTAAATAGGTTATAACAGCTAAACCAGTTAGTGTCTGTCAGTAAGAATCTATATGGATCTGGTAAGATGGTGGTTGGAGGTAGTCGACAGGAAAACCTGAACTTAGGTTTCGTGCTATTTGGTACCTGAAATCTTGAGGGGACTGTTGCTCCCTGACGGATTCAAGCTCATGTCACCCAGCTTCACAGTCAGAGACGTTACCACTGGGCTATCTGGGACGCAACAGATCTCCTGTAAGACTGAGATGTATTTGCAATTGACTGGTCACTGGTCAATGTCATGTGTGTCAGGTCCTTCTTAGTGTAGGCCAGTCGCGGCCCGGATAGCCCAGTGGTAACGTCTCTGACTGTGAAGCTGGGTGACATGAGCTTGAATCTGTCAGGAAGCACCAGTTCCCTCGAGATTACAGGTGCATCTTGCTGATGAGTGCCGAATAGCACGAAACCTAAGTTCAGGGTTTCCTGTCGACTACTTTCAACTACCATCTTATCTCAACATAGTGCACGCAATGTCGAGTCACCTAGACTAGCGGCCGATAGGATTTGATCTGCACTAAGGACCTGACATTGATCACCCAGTAATCAACCAATTGTAACTATATGAGTCTGTTCTGCTAAGTTGACTATTAGGTCGTAGGCGAATCCCATCTATCTTAGTAAAAACTTTTGTTTAGGAAAGCAGGAAATTAGCAAGTGCATTTTTACTCCTAAACAACTGCGTGCGTGACAATGTGGTCTGGTAGACTCTTGTTTAAAAGTATCACAAATGGATTACAACAAACGTCCAATTATTCTTATTACATTAATTGATTAGAGTCTCAGTCATCAATACAAAATGCTATCAAAATTATGGTTACTTTAATATTGACACTTAGAGTCATTTCAAACATCTAGTGAAACATATTTCATATTGCCATCACTTGTTGAATGAACAATTAAATATTACGATACGATCAATTTTACGACCATTTTAGATACATAATAATCGTATATACGAATAGCCTGGGAAGTAAACCAGTAGACCGGGCCATTTGAACCATACTATGGTTACGTATATTACTCTATAGATGTCGCCTTATCTCAGAAGAATCTCGTAGAACAAATGCTGGTTTTCAGAACTCGACTTTCTTAGAGAAATAATGGACTCGACAGTCTAAGTTGGAAATTATGAAACACGACAATTAGTGTTTACTAAACAAATGTTACACACTAAATATTTGACAACACCATCTACACTCATAGATAATCACGACACCAACATGATTATACAGTTTCTAAATCATTCAATCCTAACGATAAATTTCCGCTGAAGACTATATACTGTCAAGTTGTGAGGAACCCTGGTAATAAAACTATGCTAAGACTGAAGAATTCTATGTAGTGACAATTCTACGGATTGGGTAAATGCAGTCACTTGTCATGCATCAAGGTACACCAGACAGAAACCCGGTGAGGTAGAAAATAAAATTATCTCATAGAATGACACTACTTGTGCTATAACGATAAATATTAATTAAAAGATTTTAGGAATTGGTAAAATCTTATTATTTTAGCGATACTACCATACGTAAGAGTGTAAAGTACAAACGAAGAACATGTTTTCTTAAGATGCATGAGGATGATCCTTCCCAATGAATGCAAAGCACGACAAAATATCAGTTTTCTAAAACATGAGATTTAAGCACTTATTTATCTGAACAGAATTAAAGATAGAACAAAAAATATTTGTACAAACTGTTGTAACAAAGAATAATGAATATTGAACGTTTTAATTGATAGTACATATTTTCAAATAGTCTGGTGAAATTTTTATTACAAAAACGAAACAGAAAAAGATAAACGTTCAATTCTCACATTAAGAAAATTTCGAAAAATTGGCGAAAAGAATTGTGGTTTTAAAGGACCAATCACAATATAGTCTTTCAGGCTCAACAAACACGGAGCGCAGGGCAACGACGGTTATCTACTTTCTATAAGTAAGAAACAAGTCAATTAAGTACATAATAAAATACGAATTGAGATTTAACAACAAAAATGACAAATATGCCGTAGGAAATTGTAAAGCTGTTTTAAAATCTCAGATCTATTAATTTTTGGTATGATGAATTCGAAGAAAATATGTATAAAAAGAGTTGAAATTCAAATACTATAAGAGTTAATAATCTAGATACTTAAGTCGGTGTAAGAGAATTAAGTGGCAGCGAAAAGCCCAGAAAGAACATATAATATAATACTGATTGCAACTTATTTCTTTACTAACTTTAGGCTACGATCGATTGTCTTCTAGACAAAAACAGACCACTTGAGCTAGAAATCACACGGACTACAGCGCAACAAATAATCAACAGTATGACTGACCTTATTGACTATTTATTCTAAATTAACTTTTAATTATTTTCACGTGAGTTCCATGCCAACTTAATGATTCAGTGGTAGACGAAATATTTGTTTTAAGACGGCCAATCAAATGAATTTTAATTTATACTGAGTAACTGGAGTAGCCGATAATTCATCTCTAATTGATGTTTCTGGTCATTGGGGTCCACTAAGGGCCTACAATGTTTACGGATCTAGGGACAAAACGATTAAGCTACTCTACTACGATAGGTTATCGTCAAAATCGACAACGGCTGTTTACACACGACAAATCAGACCCTGACGGCTAACACGGAAATAAGACAGATCGCAGGGAACTTGATATTTGAAATTCAACAAGCAACACAAAACGAATTAGTACAACTGTCGTATATATAAATAGCAAACTAAAGGCAATTTCAACCAGAAAGCAAAGGTAGTGAGGGAAATTAAATTGAAGGAAAATGTGCAAGTGGTTATTGTTCCTGAAGAGATTTTAGCATTTCTAGTACGATTTGATTAATATTGTGATTGCATTAGCACTAATCAACATCAGCGAGAAATGCACTAATTAATTCGCAGTCTTTCACAAGGAAATGTATTTAAAAACTACGTGATAAGACATGCACACGAACAGACAGGAAGTCAAGATCGATGAGACAGCTTTCGTACTCGATGTTAGTCAACGAATTTTGAAGTGTCCAACTAAAAAAAGTTTAGGAAGTCTATTTCATTAACAAAAAAGAACTGTTCTGAGATCAATGCTCTAAAAGTAGCTTTTTTAAACAAACTACTAGATTTGAAGATTTCACAATCAATTGAAGATAAAAGATAATAAACATACTAAGAATTTGCAGATCAGACAGATGCTTTCGATACTGTTAAGTTTTTAAAGCTAGATTATCCAGGCTTCCACCAATATCTTACACAAATTCAACAGTGATCGCAAACAGAAGTGAGTGGTAATTCTACTAACTTCCAGGTGTTTTCTTTATTGATCACAATATGGTTTGATGCAAACAGATTGTGGCTAGCAGTGGGATCTGAAACGGGTTTCGTCCTCTTTGGAGCTCGTCGGCTAAATGTGCTTGCACCCTCGAGTTTATAGCCTTTCCACGATTCAAATCCAGTACCTTTCTCTTCAAACAACAATGCATCATCCACTTAGCTACTGAGTCTAAATAACCTCTCAGTTGTGCAATGGGCATTAATTTAATTTTTTAAGGGTTGTTGAGTTATCCAATTGTTGATATCCTTGACTAAACTCCGAACAGTCAAGAATATAAACAAGAGGATAGCTTCAGAACTCTGACATAGTATGGTTACTTCATGGGGCATTTTTGTATTCTCATGCTAATTAGAATTGTTCTCAAGCAATTGATTGAATTTGATCGGCCGTAGCAAAATGGCTATTTTATTTTTATTCATGTTTTACGACGACAGCCTGCTCTTATCGGATTACCATGAAGGTTTTCAAGTCAAACTAATCCCTACTAAATATAGAACCACGTTTATATAACTACATATTACGAGTCTATATAGTATTATGACTCTATTTGCTCGAATGTTTGTTCAGATAAAGCTGACATGTCAGCTGGAAGGCCGCTGGAAATGAGGCAAGACAGAATGTTACTATTGCCTTAGATTTAAAAACCTCAATCATTTGAGTATACAATCTTGTATAGTATCGAAGTCAGGACAACTTAATCTCGCAGTAAACATGATATACACGAACCAGTTAAGTAAAATTAAGTCGCCAAAATTTTATGATTCCGACGAGTTTGTGATATTATATCAGCTTTTTGATCATTAAAACATATTTCCGGATGTTGTGTGTTATCTCATCGAATATGTAAATTATACAGAATTTTTCGAACTCAAGTTATTTATTGTTAAGATACAGATGTTTCGAAATATTTAGTTATTTTTCTCTACATACATAAAAAGTCAAACCAAATTAAATACCCTAATTACAAATGCGTGAAGTTGGAATTTTATTCTTCTTTTACGAAGATGAATTAGATAGACAACAGAGTATGTATATACTGATTGAAAATAGATAGTGGTAATTTTATGACTCAGGCCTCTATTATTCAAAGGGCAATCCAATAGTATAATGATGTGTCAATATACTGGTTTATTATAATCCACTTGATCATTATTGTGCATGCTAGAATCGAAAAGAAATAGAATTATAAAATTTGTTTGAACGAATGCAATTCCTAATCATAACTTCACTGAAACTAATAAACTCCTATTAACTAGCTGTCAACCTAAATAGAAGTATGAAGCAATGATTTCTGTGCTATTGTTTTGTAACAAACCATCTAATGATACTAGATAAAACTTTATCAAGTTAACTAACTTTTTGTTGTTTTTTACGACCATTAGTTGTCTGATTCGTCGTGTTGATCATTGATGATTTCAAAGGTTTTTCGGACGAGTTTTGTACATTAGACGTGTCACCAAACGGTTGCTCAACATCTGTAACATAAAACCCGTGTTGCACAAGTTGCTGATTATTATCTTGATTTGGTTGCATGTTATTAGGAAATGACATGACTGGACTGGATGAATGAGGACTGAGTGATGATATAATATCGGATTGGGAAAATATGAGCTTATTTGGCAAAACACCAGATGGCTGTTGTTGCTGCTGCTCTAAAGACGTGGGATTTATATTGAAAGATCTAGAACATGGGGCACCATTCATTTTTGTTTGTAACTCAATGGTCATTTGGCCACGACTAATATCAGAATCATTAGAAGTACAAGGACTTGCGGAAGATGATGTTAATCTTAGTGAAGTCAGTTTTGGAGGTCCAGAAAACAAATGAGGGAATTCATGCTCACAAAATAAATTGCCATCCATAAAACATACTTTATCACCGGGGTGCAACGGAGAATGACAGTGAGTGCAACAAAAACAGTTCACATGATAGACTTTGTCTTGACATCTCATCACCAATTCATCTGGAGGAATTTGAACTCGACATTTGGCGCATGTTCCTGATAGACCGAACAGTCTACAAAAACAAAAAGAGAAACATCCATAAATCATTGCAACAATAAATTCAAATGCTCTAGCTAATATATGAATTTTTCATCTGTTTTACGTAATGGCCTTCAACCATATGATCGTCTCCTCGAACCACACGTTTTGGTTTAGGAAACTAATCATTAGCTCTGGCAGTCGGGGTTCAAAGTCTATTACATGGCTGGTCAGGTGAATTAGAAATTAATTCTAACCACTATAAGTTTCAACAGACCCTAAATTTATGTACAACTGGAGTAAAAACTAAATACGCAAACAACAAATAAAAAGAACGCATTCAATATCAGTAGAAAGGAAACCAAAATACAAAACTAAATCGAGTTATTAGAATAGCAAATTGATGGTGAGAACCAACTGCAATTTTGGCAATCCCTCCCTCCATACAAAACTATATCTTAACAAGGGAAATCTGCCAGTTCATTCTAAAGGAAATTCCAAATAAACAAATATGGTCAACGAAAGCTTCAAACTTTTTAGTCCAACAAGTGTTTATTGGGTAAAATTAGTGTTATAAATGACACTTATCTGACAATCATATTATGTCTATACCACCAAGTACATACGGACAAACTAGTACGTATATAAAACAAAAAAGTAATTTACGTATAAATCAAGTTAAAATGAGTTTTCTAAAAGTTAATCAGCTAGTACACTATTAATACTATTTGTGATGAGTTAATTTGTTTACTGACATCTACCTTGTTTTACCACCTATTATATTCATTTTTCCAACGGTTAAGTAAAAAAGAAAAATAGCTCTACTTTTAGGCACCACTATTTTTTACATCAGAAACATTACTTTCGTCCTTCTTTCCGCTATTTCTCTAACTTCGTTTTCGTCTAGTGGTAACAAACATGACAAAAAGAATAAACCAAAAACAAACGAGATGAGGAAAGGCGACAAGACCAGAGTAAAGGGGGAATACAATAGAATGAAGCGGTACGATATCAATATCAATATATATATATATATATTGGAATAGCATTATGTATCGACTTGGGTTAGATGCTTCTTAATTAACGTAGACTACAAAGGTATATCACTTACACATTAACAAAGCGTAACTACCTAAGCATGTTTATATGTGCACAAGACTATGTACGACATACGTACATAGAAGCAACCATGCGAGAAGCTAATTAAGAAAGGATAATTAATAGGCCAAACTTGTTCATTAGAAAATAAGAGAAAACTAATTTACAATAAGACTATGTCAGACCAAAATAGAGTATATAGTTAATCCGATCGTTTTATACAAAGATTAACAAACGAGTATGAAATAACTTTTAAAAAATAACCTTGCAGTTGTTCAATAGAGCTGAGCTTCAAATATGATGGGACACATCTAGAGGAAATAAGTTTACACAACTTAAATGTCTATAAAGACTATCGAGTAACTGCAAAGCTCCTCTACACATGACTCGATTATAAAATCCTGACCTTTGCTGCTACCTTGACGTAGTGGTCGGGCTTGCCTATCGTAATGAACCAATCGAGCTATACTGACTGAAACAATCGTTCCTCAACGTCCTACTATGCCAGACAGGTCGGTTGAAGAGCGGTGAGACTAAAAGCAGCAAACCCAAGGTCCGAAGGCGAAGTCGTACGGCTGACTGTGCAGAGGTGTGACAGCAGTAAGGTGTTTCCTTCAGACAGACAGCATAACAGCGATGCTGCCTTCACACAAGGAGGGGTGGGGTTAGAAAAGGTCAACCCTAAAAATGCACACCTCGCCTTATCCCACGGATGTCTGTCTCCAGCGGTAGGGTCCCAACAAGTTCGGAGCTAACACAAAAACTACACACCGACCTCAGGCATTTGTCCCTTGGGCACTGCAGTCACGCTCTCAGGTCATTAAGACCACTTCTAACACAATTTCCCTTTCAGGTACCTCTAGAAGAACCCTTCCACGGTGTGGGCAACCGGGAAGTGATAACTGTTCTCATACCTCTAATAGCACTCAAGACTGACTGATGATTATAAAATTATCCGGTAATATACTACGGAGATAAAAAAAAAAGAGGTTGTTTAATTTTAAGATCGGTTAAAAAAATATAATCGAACTACGAGGTTAGTTTTGAACTTGTGATACACGGATTTGGTTGATTTCTACTAGCCCCCAAATGCCCTGGTACGGTCGAGAGTGGGGAGAGTCACCTCTCCCTCTCGAAATGCTCTCACATGGCCAGCGAATATATAGCCTCTGACAGGGAAATCCTGCTCACTGCCTTCTCGTGGCATTACTGTTGTTTACGAAAGTGAGAGGACGAAGAGTGAATGTCCGGCGCCTTAACCGGGTTGGTGGATGTGGAGGGTCTACCTAGGGGAGTTGGAAAACCCTGATTCCAAATCAATGGTGCACATGGGCTCCAGTATCCTGAGGGAACAAATGGCGTACAAATCAATCGTTGATCACCGGCTACCATAGGACTGCATCTCATCACGATGCTCCACTGCCTTGTGGACTAAACCTTCATGTCAAAGGCTCCGGGTGTCGCCCCCTAAGAAAACCACCTGCTTCAGTCTGGGCACCTAGGCAGTATCACAGCCCTCACACAAATCGAATGAGATTTGTGCGGCGCATATGTATCTGGTGCTTACTTGTACCAATATTTATGTGTTTAAATAAATAAATAAAATAAACTACTACCTATGGCAACTCGAACTGATGTACGTACGTACGAAGTTCTACGTTGGGACTGACTGACTGATTTCTACTACAAAGTATGCTGTCTATTTACGTACACAATGTGAAAGTTGGAGAAATAAGATAACAGACAAGAGAATGTTAGAGACGATCCTGAGCTACACTATTAACTATTAGTAATCGACAATGGTAAGTCAGAATCACATGAAACAATTGTGTACTCGACTGAGCCATATTGCTTGTCCGATGATTGGTGGTATATCAGGCACTCAATATCGTGATCAGTGCATAAAAAACAACTACTTCTTAACACTTGGTCTTCACTGACGATAGGCATCCACATCTGGGTAAATTTATACGATTCATCTAAGATTGAATGGTTGAACAGTCATTTTTTGGATATTAGTTAATGTCCTTAGAAATGGGGCAACGAGATATTGAATGAAAACACCATTCAAAGTTATCATCTAATACCAAAATATGACCAGTACCAAACAGAAAAAGAAACTCGGTTATAAAATCATATATCCGGAACTAAAAAAAATCACTAAGTGGTTTTACGAGTATTTGAATATTCCAAAGTAATTGAAAAACGCTAATAACATCGACTATCGTTAATTTAATATTAAGAGACAGAATGTTATATTTTAAAAGTGGATGAAAATAGTACTAAAATAACTACAAATCAGACTAATTAGCCAGATACGATAAGCGAGCTTCTAATTGCGAGTTTGATCGCATTTCTGATTTTTAATTGCAGACCTTGATGAGGACTTATTGGAAAAAACAATGCTTTGTTTATTAGTTTTCCGATAAGAAAAGAGTTTTGTTTATCTCTACTTAGCAAGTATGAAATAGCAATTATTTATTTATTTATTTAAACGCATAAATATTGGTACAAGGAAGCACCAGATACATATGCGCCTCACAAATCTCATTCGATTTGTGTGAGGGCTGTGATACTGCCTAGGTGTCCAGACTGAAGCAGGTGGTTTTATAGGGGGCGACACCCGGAGCCTTTGACATGAAGGTCTAGTCCACAAGGCAGTGGAGCATCGTGAAGAGATGCATTTCCATGGTAGCCGGTGACCAACGATTGATTTGTACGCCATTTGTTCCCTCAGGATACTGGAGCCCATGTGCACCATTGATTTGGAATCAGGGTTTTCCAACTCCCCTAGGTAGACCCTCCACATCCACCAATCCGGTTAAGGCGCCGGACATTCACTCTTCGTCCTCTCACTTTCGTAAACAACAGTAATGCCACGAGAAGGCAGTGAGCAGGATTTCCCTGTCAGAGGCTATATATTCGCTGGCCATGTGAGAGCATTTCGAGAGGGAGAGGTGACTCTCCCCACTCTCGACCGTACCAGGGAATTTGGGGGCGTGAAATAGCAAAATACAAGAACGAGATGAAACTATTGACATTCAACTCTAAACGATGGAGACGTAAGTAGAAAATAAAGTGGATCTAAAACCCTATCCGATATGTACAATCGAAGATAGTTACTCAAAGTATGCAAGATCTTGTTAGATACACTGATAAGAAAACTCAGGGAATAAAGTAGCCATTCGAAGTGATACAACTTGCAGAAAAAAAAGTAATAACGATACTTCTAGGTGGCTTAGTGATTAAGTCAACAGACATCCAACCGATAGGTTTTTGGTTTGCACACTACCTAACATTTGGTTTGGAGTTGTGTAATTTCATTAACCCTTACAAGTTGTGGCTTGAAGTTGAGTATACAGGCTTGGAGATAAAATAAATATATAACACTAGAAGAATTAACATGTCGAACAGTCAACCAAATCGAATAACTTATTGTCTTTGAAAATTGTTATGAAACTGTCATTTCGTCACAAAATCTGTAATTAGATTTGAGATTTTATTAACTCATCGACTGTGCACTTATGATGTCTAATGGTGGTATTTTACAGAGGAAAAGAGCAAAGTAACATGAAACTGGACAAACTAATAAAGAGGATACTAATATTAGTGAGTCGGCAAAAGTTAAATAAGTAAGGACGAAGTAAAATATAAGATTTGTATGTAGGATAAAACAATGTTTTAAACCCGCAGGAGGAATATATTTGCTTGACTGAGACCAAATTACTAGTTACCATTAGTAACTCACCAACCAACATCTGTATTCTTGACTTTTGGCCAGTGTACATGTGAAAGCTAATAATGCTACTCGTTTGATCAAACTGAAGTACAGAGGGGTTCGAATCGGGCTGAAAGTCGAACGCGTTTCCCATGGTCAATGCTCCGTCAAATTTACAATATTAATATTACTCAAAGGTTGAATGAAGAATTGACTGATCTCTACGGCATCACTAAATAAAATCTGGAGCTAAACCAGATGGTTCAAGATTTGTTACAAATTAAGGTGTAAAACTTAGTTACCATAACATACTTCAACAAAACGGGGCACAACAAATAACGATGGATAGATAAAATAGTGAAGTTAGTCTTAATAACACAGATGATAAGTAAACTAATAGGGATGATAAACTTACTTGAGGTAATCTTGTCGACATAACAGCATATTTGAGCGAACGAAAACGGAAGGTCCTAATTCATCAAGCCGTAGACCACAACAAGAACAATTCAAACAGGAAGTATGCCAAAACCGATCGATTGCATTTAACAGAGTTTTCTCTACTATAGGACCACCGCATCCAGCACATGATATAGACATTACTTAATCCGAGAATTTCATATGGACACTACATGTGTCGAAGATATCAGGAATAATTCCGTAATAGACTTAATTGATATGTATCCGACTAAGCAACCCTATGATCAGTAAAGATATGTCAATGCTTGTCTCGCCATGAACAATGTCAGCGTGAAATTCATGCTATGAACATTATATGTGCCTACTCTCATTCTGATTGGTCAGTTGAGCTTGTCATATTACGCTCAGTTGTAAACTAGCATCCAATAGAGGTGACGAATTCACATGTTATAACCTTGACCCATAGACTACATTGACCATAAAAATTGAGGACAGGTAGATTGTGTATATGTGTACATGCATCTGGATTTAATGCCTCAAATCAAAGGACATTTACACTATACATTCGGACAGTGAATAAACTGTTTGCATATGGAGCTATTAATAACCTTGTATGAGTCACTTTAATGGTAATGTTGTGCTTGATCTGCATTTTTTACGCCATTTAATTATCCGTAATTAGTTGGCGATCTTATAAATTTGAAGCTGTAGTCATTGTACATACTGGAGCTAGTCACATCGTTTTCAAAATGCAGTTTTGTTTTGAAAAATGTATCCTTGTCATTTTGGCATCTCAGCATAAGATATTTGCATTTTGCGATGAGATCATTGCCTTTATACTTCTAGCTGTTTCATCGGGGTCTGCACACTAATCTGTTAAAGGACAGCCAGCAACGAAGATCAGAAAAGCTGTAATTTATACTAAAGATGCGATTGACCGAATCATCCATGGTACATTAGTCTGTAGTGCCGCGATTCGTTAATCGTTTACTTCGATAACCGTTATAATTCTAAACTTAACGGCGCGTAAAATCAGAAGACAAAGGATAGCAGCAACTACAGTTTATTGTCGAATAACTCAGGTTCGGAAGCTAACAACACGTGAGCGAATATGAACGAGCGAGTGAACAAGCGAAGGAAACGAACGAGGAGCAAGCGAGCGAATAGCAAGCAATTACATAGGCAATTTATAGTCAAGTTTAATAAGGGCACAGCAAAGCAAAACAAAGGCTGATAATAATATTTGCGTGCGTACATATATGGGGAGGAGTATCAGTCATCGAATGATATTTAAGCAGTCAACATTTCGGCTAGTGTCATGTACTCTAGTGGTATAGCAGTGCAAAGATTATGCAAATTGTTACTATCCAAATGACGATGTCTGTTAAGTTATAAAAAGGGCTTAACCAAAATTGGCTATAATCGAAATTGATTGTAGGATGGTTGCTATAGTTCATCTGTTAATAGGCGTAAATATATTCGGATGGAAATGTAGGCTTTAGGTCATATGATCATTAGTCTGTGTTCATAAACATGACAGTCAAGTACAACGGAATCTAGAAGAAATAGAGTCGCCAGGGCTGGGAGTACTTACTAACCAGTTAGACCACAGTAGCTAACAGTAATACGTCTGAATATGTTTTAATTCATACAACCTGGCTGCTCAGATCACTTGCCCCAACTACTTGGATGAACTAGAGTTACTTGGAATAAATATTCACAACTAATAAAGCGAATTAACAATTTTGTGTACCAAACAACACAGCTGAATACAGTGCTAATGTATTTATGTCTTGAAACCAGCGTAGTGTACTGTAAATATGTCCAGACTGACAGAAGTGTGATTTTTATTACAAACTATCCTAGAATGCTTCACCTAGTAATATCATTTTATTCTGGAATTTGAATGTTGCAGATACTGTTTGATCACAACAGTGCCACAAGTAAATACCATACAAACTTGATCCCGCACAATAGTTGACCTGTTGGCCACTGACAGGACTGTTTTTTTCTGTGATAAATTTCCTGATCTAATAGGAACCCGTTGCATTTGATACTAATGGATTCGGAACTGAGGTTAGATCCATTAACTCGTTTATAGAGTATTCACCAATATTAAATTATCTGCTTGTAAATGCTAATCACATACAATCAATCATATTTCGGATTTTTATTAAGTTAGGTAGGTAAGAGGTTGGGATCTATCAACAGTCATATCCAAGCCCACAGATTGGATTACGTGTATACATTAGCACAGCATATGTGCACATGTCACCTCAGAAATGCAAAAGCATATGAATCAACTCCAAAGTTTTCATTGAACCATTTGATTTTGTTTCATATATTGTTAACCAAGATAATGATGAATTTGTAAATATCGGGAATCCACAATACGTTTGACATACATTTGACAAATGAATGAATCAGCCTTACCTTTTATTAATTTGAGCATTTATTGAAATAATTAATGCTCAACTTTATACAACTTGAATATTTTTGTACGTATAAGATTCAAGCCTTGTTGTCATTCATTTAGCACGATTGCAATCGTTGTTGTGGTTTTGATTGGGGGGGGGGAATAATTCATACTCATCGTTGCAAACAGCACTAAAATACAAATAACTATTTTTCATATTATTTTTAGGGATTTAACAGGACAAAATTGTTTGGCTTAGATTCCATGCTAATTATTAAAACATTTAAAGTGAGATCATATCACTGTACCCATGTTCCAACTGAGAACCTTACCTTGCAACGTTTTTATCATGAAATTTCTTTAATTTTATGTGCCCGCCTAACCAAGTATTGTTCACAAGACAACTTAACGTATGATTTACGTTGTTCAATCTTCTTAAAGTAACTTTAAAGACATTCTGTAGAATTTGCAGATATGTATACTTTTAATTTTAGTAGTTGTTAAATGTCTTTTCAACTAAATTTATATTATCATAGGAATAAAAGCAATGGTTATTTTTAATCTACAAAGTGAATTTATGTAGATTGTATGGAATTTTAAAACAACTTTCATCCTAAACTGACAATAGCTGTGGAACTATCGGAAAATAGCGAATAATATACAATAGTTTCAATATAGTTTAGAACAAGTCAATAGTATGTACTCAAGAACCCACAGGAAACTGAACTTAAATGTTTCACCTCCTGAGAGATACTACACGAACATCCAGTTATTAAGTTCAAATCTACTGGTCAATGCATTTAGATTCGGTCATTTTATAATCTACTGCTATATTTATTTAAGGATATTAGTGGTTTGTCACGTTGTGGTTGACTTCACAGATCATGACTCGAACTTACAGTTATTATTTATTTCGGTAGTTTTGTTTAAAATTTTACATAGATGTTGTCAATAAGAACAAACATTCTAAGATACAGTATGCAACAAACTGAAATAAAAATAATCAAATAAACAATATTTGGTGGTTAAGCAATTTAAAATTTTTAAACTGTCTGCAACAATATGTAAGAACTTTCGTCTAAATTAAAGCGAATAGTTTCACAGTATTTGAGCGCCGAGTTGATGTAAGACGTTGGATTTACTTCAAATTCATTTGCTGAGATTTTACAAAGACATTATTCCTATTTAGTGTCTGCAACAAGTTATCTTATTATTATCTAAAAGTTTGTAACACTGTTGATTAACACTAGAGACAAAGTATTTTTACTATGTTACAATCACGGGCATAATTGCTCCCGAATAGTCGTAATGACAGGTACACTATGATAGTTATAAATCATCTCACTTTGAATAAGTTGACTAATCATTAATGAAAGAACTATGTTTTGTAAACATATAGTATTTAAACCTAATACACACACGTTATCTAGTTCTTCTATATACATATTAATTAGCGTAATAAATGTATTCATTTGTTATATGAGAATGGTAGTCTGTTCCCTCTCACTCTGTTATCTATTCAAATAACTGGACTATTTCCAGACTGAAATTTCGACAGTTTTTATCAACAACGAGATGAATATTCTGATTTCTCGTCGAATATTACATTGATGACAAGTATCAGTGTTTTTTCTTGTTTTCCTGTAGCATATATCCATATTGCTGTATAAGAAAGAAAAATATAAGTCATCACAAATAAGTGATTTTTTTTTCGAGTTTCTGATCAATTATGAATTTTATTTATTTATTTAAACGCATAAATATTGGTACAAGGAAGCACCAGATACATATGCGCCTCACAAATCTCATTCGATTTGTGTGAGGGCTGTGATACTGCCTAGGTGCCCAGACTGAAGCAGGTGGTTTTCTTAGGGGGCGACACCCGGAGCCTTTGACATGAAGGTTTAGTCCACAAGGCAGTGGAGCATCGTGAAGAGATGCATTTCCATGGTAGCCGGTGACCAACGAATGATTTGTACACCATTTGTTCCCTCAGGATACTGGAGTCCATGTGCACCATTGGTTTGGAATCAAGGTTTTCCAACTCCCCTAGGTGGACCCTCCACATCCACCAACCCGGTTAAGGCGCCGGACATTCGCTTTTCGTCCTCTCACTTTCGTAAACAACAGTAATGCCACGAGAAGGCAGTGAGCAGGATTTCCCTGTCAGAGGCTATATATTCGCTGGCCATGTGAGAGCATTTCGAGAGGGAGAGGTGACTCTCCCCACTCTCGACCGTACCGGGGCATTTGAGGGCTATTAAATTAAATTTTAAAGTATCGATTAAGTAACTATTTACCGAGCTTTATGAATTGATATAAATATATTGAAGTACACAATTGTGATGTAATAGATAAGTTGGATTGAGTGCATATTTTGAGAATGAATGCTTCTATAAGAAATATCTGTCTCAGAAAGTCACAAACATAATGAATACTTCTGAAATTGTTGAGAAAATTGCAAGCTATAGTAAAGATATTTGTAATAATATCATGTGCTTTAACAGCTAATGCTGACTTGCCATTTTCGGGATTTTGATTAACCATCATAGTTGTATGTAAACAAATTTGTTTGATGAAATAGAAATTTGTCACCGAATTTACACATATGTAGTTGACCTAAGTGACTAACTTCCAACATTTTTCTAACGTTGAAGATAACTCATACATTACTTCACTTTTCAACTGAATAAATAGTTAGTATTGTCCTTATCCATTGATAGGAAGGACAATGAACTGTGTAGGATGTATGATGAAAGCGTTGTGTTCCAGTTCAAATCAGTGACCTTTAAAAGTTTCAGCATTTGTTCTGTATGAAATCAGTTGTTATTTCATCTATATTCTATGAGCTCAAATACCATGAGATGTAGTGGTTTTATGAAAGAAGCTGACTACAAAAGGTATGGTAATATGAAACGTAATTTTTGGAATTTATTATTTGTCAGTCACATATTCAATTAAAATATTTCTTGAAA